TGACCCCAATAACATTCAAGCCTTCATATGAAATCATGTAACTCTTCAGCTCACTTGGTAATAAGTATCATGTAATTACAACCACATGCTGAATACATCAATTAGTTCGGGAAGATATTTGCTTGGCTCAACAGAAATTTTTAGCACAGGTCCCAGTATATGGCCCGTATCCTAGCACACTCTACGCTGGAGACAGGGCCGGGCGCTGTACCAGGGAGTTGGCCACCAGGTGCTTGACCAGCAGGTCAGCGTGCATCTGCTTTCGCAAGTGCAGTGCAGACACTCCTGACGCGACTCACTAATTTTGCATAGCTCCCATGGCATAACTTGACTCTGAGCATATTACTTGGATTTTGCGGAACATGGGGTTGTTGTTTGCTTGCGGGATAACAGCTTTGAGAGGCTCACTCGGTCAAAGTCTACAACTGCACTGGAGTGGTCGATGGCGCCTGAGTATTGCGCAGCGAAAAGAAGCATTGGCTTGCTGTGGTGTATACCTGCCTCAAGAAATCCACTTTCTTCTCTCTCCGTTGCAGAATATACAGCGCCTTGAGCAAACTGCCCCCCGTCCTCTATTTGTCTGTACAAATAGACTTACTTGTTTTGGAAGCAGGCGGGACTCGAGGGCGGGATGGCGGGTTAGGAACAGATCTATTTCTGATTCATGTCTCACGGCTAATCTACGCCATCAACGGGAAAGCCACAGCCACCGTGTGCTGGCTCGAAACCATCCCATCCCATCCCATCCATGTAGAAATGAGCACGCCTAACACTCGCTGCATTGGCGCCAGCGACTTAAATTTATCAGTGAGCTCCGTTCAGACGCAGCTCTCCGTAACTAGCCTATATTATTCGAGCCTCTACTGAACATTACATCCCGTATAAAACTGTGGTATAATCAATGACGACAAGCTGCGTCCTTCCAACGACCAGATATTTTCCTTAGCAGCTTCCGTGAAGACAAAGTATACAGCTACAATCCAAATTCCGCTAGCTCGTTTTGTACATTCTCCAGCCTCTGTTTTCGGCCGGCGAGCTCCTCGCGAGTCGAAACGACGAACGGGTCTTCCTCCAGGTATGCCGCACACTTCGCACCTGCGTCTATCGCGCCGAGGCCGAGCCACTTGATCAGGTGCTCCTGAAGCTCGTTCGCAAACGCGCGCAAGAACTCATGGTCAATGACCAGCGGAACATAATCGATGATGCGCTGGAGGCGAAGTTCAATCGGAGGCATTCGTCGTAAGCTGAAGGAGATCGCCTCACCTTGTAAGCGACCTTGAAGTACGCGCGTACCTCGGCCATGACCTCCAACTCCTTTTCATACTCGTCTGGGGGTACGAGCTTTCCAAAATCGGCTACTGTCAGACCTTGATACCCGAGCTTGGCAAGGCTGGCCAATATTGTCGCCTCTTCCCGCTTGCGCTCCTCATCAGAAAGCGTCGTTGATGATGCTGCAGACTGCGCAGCCGAGAACGAAAATGAGAACGGTGGTGTCGGCGGAGGCGGAGAAGCTCCCCTTGAGCCGTTCGAGATCGAAGAACCCGTCGAAGATGAAGGGCCGTCGTTGAGTCCGAGAGTCGGCGTCGAGCTCGTCGATGCCGATGCGGAGGCTTTTGGATTAGCCGATGCTGGCAGAGATACCATTGGCCGCCTCAGAGGATTTGATGAAGCCTCGCTAGCTCCGAGCTTTTTCGCCGCACTACCCTCGAATGAACCGTTGGTGGCGGGATCGAGTCCTTGCTGATAATCGGTCACACGCAGCTCCTGTTAACGAGGACAGTTAGCCTCATGACTTTTTTCTACGCCGACCCCGAATCAACAAACTTCGAACGACCAGTTCGCATAGCCAAGCATGCACGTTATGGAAGCAAATATGGGCCAGGGTTCGGGCTCCTCGTGCACCACTGTCCCGTTATAAGGCATTTGAGCCGTGCTGGGACAGTCATGCAATCGAATCTGGGTCGCCGAATTGCACCGCTAAGCTCGAGAATTAATGTTTGTACATTATACTCACTGTCGTAAAAGGGTTAGACCGGCTGCTAAATGTAGGCGCAGCTGTTGACTGCGCTGCTGAACGAGTGCCTGGAGTGATCGTGGGGCTGGGTTGTGCTGTCGTCACTCTGGCCTTAGGATCTGTCTTGGCATTTTGCCGCGCACTCTTGTACTGCGCGAGGAACTCGTCCTTAGAAGCAGAGAGGTAGTGGTCGTTCTGGGTGAACGGGGTCGTCTCGTAGCGGAGAACCCTGAGCACCTGGGAAGACACTGATTGTAATTTGGAGCGTATGAGGTCCTCCACGGCACGTCTAAGGTGACGTCAGCGTAGGAACGTTGACGTATTGCAAAACGCCAGATGCCTACCGAACCTTGGGCTCAAGATGGTTGTACGGCCCGAATGCATCCTGCACGAGACGAAGGACCGTCCGCTGCAACGTCTGATGAACAGAATCCACGACACGCCGTGTGTGTGTTGCCCAATCGCGCTGGAATTCTTTGATGAACGAAATCTTGGCAACATAAGGTATGTTATTTGGCAGCTCTCTTGTCACAGCCCTAGACGATTCGTCAGCTAGCCGCCAAACCCTTGCATGCGAAATCCGCGCACTGATTAATCCGACTCCTAACATCATCCAAATAGAGGTAGGCTACACCAGAGCCAGTTGCGCCGTCGTCGTCATCCAGTCGAATGAATCTCGCCGCGTTCCCAAAATCAAGTTCTGATTGCGCTACAACACGGTTTGTGTACGGCAAGAATTTCGGTGCTGTCGACCGTATGTTCATCTTGTATTTGGCGTATGCGCCTCGGCTGTCCTGGACTAAGCTGGCAGCGTCGAGAGAGCCCTCGACGAACAAGTTGACCTGTAGGCAAAAGCGCGTCAAGAGCGTCAAAACGAAGGAGCTCGGCTCGGATATGGGCTGCGGCAGCAAATCCAGGCGCGAAGAGCACTCTTGAAGCTGCCGTGCTGTCTCGCTCGCAATCTTCGGGAGGCTGAAGACAACGTAGTATGTTGATTAGAATACGAGTTTCGTAGGCGCTGACACATACCTCTCGTCGATGACCTTGGTCAGCAACTTGCTTAAGTGCGAAACCAGATTACGTGTCCCGAAGTGCGGCTGGTAAGTCGAGGCCGACCATGGTAAAGTACGAGCGAAGAAGTCGGCCTCAGCCTGGCGGGCTTGAGCGGTGGTAATTCCAGCTCGGCGCTCGTCTTCATCAGGTTGGCGAGTGCAGTAGTAACCGAGTTTGAGCGGGAACTTGACGTCCCGGCCCTCAATGACATCGAGCCATAACTCCTTTGACCGGGTAGCACCAGATGTCAGCGTATCAGGTTTGGTCAAAACACCTAAAGATTTATGAGCGTCAGGTTGAGTGAAATGGAGAAATACTAACCAATGGTTCGAGAGCCACTGGGGTCGACTTGCCTTGCGAGGCTCATTGCCTTCTGGTTCTCGATGTCGTCTGTATACTATCAGTGGCTGCCACTATGAGATATTACGCTGTTCCAAATACTCACCGCTCATGGGCAGAGTTACTAGGATGAGGCAGTTGCCCTGAATATGAGAAAGAACGAGGCCCTCTACCAGCCCAACGATCTCTGGATCGGCATTTTGTATGATACCTGCATGAGTCGTGAGAGATGAGTCTAGAGGTGAATTATATGGTCGTACCTGGAAGATCCAGGAATGCGAGGTCTACTAATCCAGGCCCAGAAAGGTCGACACAGACTGCGTTTCGGGAGAACAACAGCTCATTTTTCGGAAGGCGTTGCTTTAGCATTGGTTCTGTCATGTCCAAGAAACTTTTTGGCTCTATAGATGGATTAAGTACCGCAGCTTGTGCCCGGCGGAGAGCGACCTCAACGTCTCGTGGGTTGGTGATCTCTTTACCAAATGCTTGCTCTTCCACCTTATCCCGCCGCCTGCCGTTGTCGTGAAACTCCCACCGGATTGAAACGCGGCATATCCACGGGTTTGAAGATTCGGCCATGCGACATTCTATCGGGCAACGAGTGCATGTTCCCGCGTCGCGCGGCACAGAAATCTAGAAGTAATGACACGTGAGTCGGCCTCTGGTGTAACGCGTGAAGAACTAACCCCTGAGATTGCTTCTACCAGGCTGGATTTTCCCGCACTCTGATTCCCAATAACTGCAATTCGAGGGAGGTCCAGGTCCGCTTGCGCGCTGGGCAGTCAAACGACGTGAGCCGACCAGAGGCAACGAGTGAAGCATTGATACTGCTTCTTACCCGAGGGCGCGAAGTGTATTGATAAGTCCTAGATGCTTTCGTCTACGTGTAGCATAATGCGACTCTGAGTCTAGCATATCGCGAGGGATATTTTAAACGCGTTATGTTTCTCTTTGTGCGAGAAATTGGGAGGAAAGGAGCGTGATGGCCCGCAGCGGCAATTTCAACAGTGCGCCTGGCCGGTCACGTGAAATATTGATGCGCCTTTCTAAATCTGGCTGTTGGGCGTGACCGCGGCGTACAGTACAGTATCGCCATGCAAGCGTAGGGAATGATGCAGCAGATCGAAGAGCGCATCAGCGCATCACCAACAGGTCGATAAGACGCCGCCGCAAGGTGAACTTAGATCCTACGCAGCCTAATGTCCTGGGATTTTACGCGACACCACGCCGTAAATACAGTGGCACTCATTTGCGGATATTTTGAGGTTCAAGTTTCTCAGTGGCCCATGTTCTACGGTAAGTCCGGCAATTGCACAATGACTCTTCAAGCTTCAGCCCTGTTCTATTAACTAGACCTCATCGAGCCGGAGCATCATTGAAACAATAGTCCTGAGTATCTAATAAACTCCGCTCTATGACGGAAACGAAGCATATGTTCTCTGATGCCGTGATCATGGGTGAGCGGCGACCCCGGTAGCATGAGAACGAGAAGAGCCAGCTGAACGTCAAACCTCACAATTCACTGCCCCCGATGGCCACGTACATGGTGAGGCACAGGCATAATATTTTATCCACGAAGAAAACTCACAGGGCAATGATGGCATAGGTTGGACGTGCCTAACGGTATACAGTGGGGTATTCAGCTGACTGTCTCTGGCGTGATTGAGTTGCCTTCGTCGCAGGCGCGTGAAAGCGCACCGCTTGTAAATGTTGTCTAGTTTACAACTCTGCAGACTGACTTGACGTAACTGGTGTCATAGTCAAGGCGCGCACGGGGATGCGATCAGGCTTGAGCTTGAGGTCCTATAAATACTGGTGTGCGGAGGGAGAGGTATGTCTAGGGCATCGTCATTGAACGCCAAGGCCTGCCGGAATGCGCTCGAGTATTGCTTCTGGCTTGCAAAGCGTCATCGGACTCATTGTTCAGTCTCACGCGTCTCGTGCTTCTGTCTATATAGATGCTGCACAGTTACCGACCACGACATTTGACTTCGTCGTCATCGGAGGTCCGTCTTTCAATGCTGTTCCGCTCTCGTCAGGTACCGATAGTAGTGGTCCTTTCTCTATACAGGCGGCTCTGCCGGGAATGTCGTTGCTTCCCGGCTGTCGGAAGATCCGCGCTTCTCGGTTCTATTGATTGAAGCAGGGATTTCGTGAGTAATGAATCCTGCTCTGCACCTCCATGGAGGTCCCACAGCTACCTTGACACAGGAACAAGGACGTCCTCGAAGTCGAAGTCCCTTTTCTCGCTCCGAACAACCTTGCCAACTCCTCTCTGTTATGGAACTATATGACAGAACCGCAAGCGGGCCTCGACAACAGAACACTCTTCTACCCCAGGGGCCGTCTTCTTGGAGGCAGTAGTTCTGTCAGTACGTCTTTCCTACTTTTAAATGCTGCCATTTGTCATGGATCCTTTCACAGATTATCTTGCGTATACTCGAGGTGCGGACGAGGAATACGATCAGTGGGCCGAGCTCACCGGAGACGCTGGATGGTCGTGGGACAATGTCTCCAAATATTATTATAAAGTACGTATTAGACTTCATTCACATGTCTCTGTCATCGGCTCATGGTGCTTTCTCCCAGAGCCATCCTAATCAAGCGTTAGGTGAGGGCCACCAGCAGCTGTATGAGGGAAAGAGCATCTCACGGCAAAAAGCATTTCGAAGTGTGGGCTATCTGGACCTACACGCGAGATTGTCAATAGCAGTTACTGGACCTCTGGACATAAGCGCACTTACCAGGTGTCGGATCCGACAGATTCTTTTGCGCGATATCATCATCAGGTATCCTACAGTACGCGATCGTGTTTCCCGGCGTGGCAGTGAACTGGCCTGTGTGGTTTGTTAGCCATTGGGTCATGTCAGCGTCGAAGATCGTGGGGTCGCGCCAAATATTGTCAAGTGTCATGTTCGACGAGACCGTCCAGTAGCTCGACACATAGGGATGATCGCTCAGATGCTGTCCGACGTCGGGTAGGTGGATCAAGGGTTCGATACCAATGGAGGCCAGCGCGTCATGGTCGCCTATACCGGAAAGCATCAAGAGCTGGGGCGAGTTGATTGCGCCTGCCGAAAGAATAACTTCCTTACGGGCAGTGACTGTCGACCTCTTCGCTGAAGAGCATCATCAGAGAATCGATGCAAGGACAATAAATCAAAGACGTACCTGTAGCATTTGGTGCAAATTCGACCTCACGGAGCGAAAGCCCGTTACGAGTAGATTTCACTGGGATCAGCCTTGTAACGGTATTGGAGATAAGGACATGTAGGTTTTTTCTGCCAAGGATAGGGTCGAGATATGCAGTCGCAGAGCTGCTACGCTCGCCGTTACCCACGGTACTCTGCAGATAGCCTTATAATCACGCATTAGTGAGTGCAAATCTCGACCCACGAATAGCTTGACTAACTGAGTCCGAGCGGGTGGCCTGAGTTGACGTCGGAGTTGTAAGGTACTTCCATGCTCGGAGCCTTGCTCGTCCCAATTACCCGACTGTCGATCTCGCTGGGGTATCCTGGCAGGCTGATTTCGATGGGGCCATATCCGTGGTCGGCGGGGTCAACCTGCCCGGTGGTGTTATGATGGTCTGCAGGAGGAACAAGGCGTGAGCTGGAGTGCGAGCTTAAATGCCATACCATCCACAGGACATTATTTCACCATCAACACGATCGTCGTCTCGCCAACATCAGGTGTGTTACACGCGCTGTTCTTTATCCCATACATTGACCGGGAAGTCATATCAGTCGGATCCGTGAGACTCAACACTTCCGACCCCTTCACCTTCCCGCTCATTGACCCTGCCTTCCTGACGACCGAATTCGATGCCTTTGCCATGGTCTCTGCGGTGCGCGCTGGTCGGCGCTACATTGCGACAGAGCCCTGGCATGGCTTCATTGTCGAGCCATACGGCAAAGTTAGCACTGCAACGGCGGACGAGGAGATAATTGCTGCCATGCGCGAGAATATCGTCACTATCTGGCACCCGACGCGTACGGCACGGATGGCACCCGCCGACGCTCACTGGGGTGTCGTGGATCCGCAACTCCGGGTGAAGGGCGTACATGGTCTGAGAGTGGTGGATGCGTCTGTCATAGTGAGTGACGGAAGTAATCTTCGTATGGAACACCCCGTTTGACAATATGCCACAGCCTGTAATTCCTGCCGGCCATCCGATCGCAGCCATCTACATCTTGGCTGAGCGTGCTGCAGATTTAATAAAGGACTCCTGGGCGTGAACCGTGGCTGTGTAATAAATGGAACTGAATTATCTGTCGCTATTACAAAGTGCAACGGAGTGGTTTTCGTGTGGACTGCGTACTAGTCCTACAGCCCCTGCGCAAGATTATTTGTGGCCACTTTCAAAACGGCCCCGGAACGCTCGGCGACACCTAAATCTTAACTCGCCTTGCGTTTTACTCTGCGAGAATCGCTAGGAAATACTAGTAACTACGGCTAATTCTTGAATTATCTGTGTACCCTAATAAATCAAACTTGCATCAGAGATCGTAGCGACTGCACTATATTGGCACCACGAGAGCGGCTCGATCATAATATTATATATATGGTAGAATTCGTCGACCACTGTAAGTTTTTGTGTAAGTATTATTGGATGAGGATTTTACCAGTATATACTCGAAGTCTTGGTTTGAACGCGGTCGGCTTTTGGCCTGAGCAGTGGCGAGGCTAAGACGCTCGCTTTTTCCAAAAGCGGAGTAATCCTCTCACGGTCACGCGCCAGAACAAACCACAAGCTAGGTGTTCCCTGCTCTTGCTCTTTACCCGGCCTACCGTCGCCACTAGTTTCAAGATATCGACGCCTCTAACTTCCCCTTCCGATAGACTACAGTCTTCTGTATAATTCACGTCGATCGCGTAGCAATTCTTGTCGCTCCATTCTTTCCTGAGCAAGCTCCCTTATTCTCGCTACCAAGGCTCAATGTCACAACGAGGTGTGTGAATTACTAAGCAACAGCGTCCTCGTAGAACGTAGAACATAATAAACCTGCTTGATTTGTAATATCGTACATTACTTCCGCATCTCTGCGGCAGTCTCTCTTGATTGGTTTGCTGACATTTTCGCAGGTTCAATGATTGTCCCACCCCGAATCTACCTCCAGGATGTCTGTTTGAAGCATAAATTCGTTCGAAATAAAGACGCGAGCGATGTATACGAACGACCAGAACGTATTCGTGCGATCAACATCGGAATCTCTGCACTGCACGCTCGGCTCGAGACAATTAATCACATCGGTACTTCGACTGCAGCTCCTCAACAAGCCGGCTCCGGCATCGTCCCTGTACCTCTCACCATTGTACGTAGTGCGGCGACACTCGACATGCGTGCTCACAAAGGTGCGCTGGCGGTACATGGGGGCGAAGACGAGGATGGCAACCAATGGTGCCTTGCGGACGACATCGACGAGTGGTGCGTTCGTAGCTTGCTGCAAATACAGCAAAACAAGAGCGAAATCCCCGAGAAATACGAGCAGGACCTCTACTGTAAAATAATCTTTTCGAGGTCTTGTTCCAGATAGCTGCTGACCAATTCTTTATGGCGATGTTGTAGTGTGTCCGGAGAGCTTACAAGCATTCGAGGGGGCACTAGGGACGGTCTGTGAAGCTGTGGACCATGTCTGCAAGGCCACTGGCGTTTTCAAGGGAGACCCATCACCTCCGCAGACACAGCCGGATGTTGGTACCCCAAGCCCACGTGTTTTCGTCGCCGTTAGACCTCCAGGCCATCATTGCGGGGAGGTCAGTAGCGCCCTTCCTTCCTTTACGTATTGAATTCTTCTGACAGAGCAACAGGATACTCCAGCAGGTTTTGGTTTCGTGAACAATGTCTGCGTTGGTGCATTTCATGGTTAGACACTGCTTCATTAAGATGAGGTTATAGCTCATGCGGATAGCTTTCCAGCGTTCGAGCAGCATCGCTTGGGCCGGATTGTGATCTTTGACATCGACTTACATCATGGTACATACTGGTTTTTTCCGCTATCGAACAAACACGCTGATTTCTTGAAAGGCAACGGCACGCAAGAGATCGTTAGGACATATCAAGCGCCCAAGATATTCTACGGCAGTACGCATGATATTGAGTCATACCCATGCGAGGTATGGGCGCTGCCGCCCCTGCGAGAACGACTTACTTATATTATACCTTCCAGGATAAAAACCGAGAGCTCATTGACGACGCTTCTCTTCAGCTGCATGGCATCAACGGCGAATGGATCCACAATGTCCATCTGCTCCGGTATAAAACTGAGGCAGACTTTTGGACACACTACGAGCACCGTTACCGATCATTGTTCAGGAAAGCTACAGAGTTTATTGAGACCACTGGTGGTGCCGGTGACGACGTCATTGTATTCATGAGGTTGGTCGTATACATACACACTTGTCAGCCTCCTCTGACCCTGACTGCCCCAGCTGTGGCTTTGATGCATCAGAATACGAGACGACTGAGATGTCTCGGCATGGTCGGCACGTGCCGACGTCCTTTTACCATAGATTCACCCTGGAGGCATGCGCGTTCGCCAACAAGTATGCTGGCGGTCGCCTCGTGAGCGTCCTTGAAGGCGGTTATAGCGACCGTGCGCTGACCAGCGGGGTTATGTCCCACATCGCCGGACTTGCGGAAGCTGGTGGTCAGAAAGTGAGCAGGGACTGGTGGGGCAATGACGAGCTGAATAAGGTCGGTTGTCACGAACGCCTCTGGTAGCATCGCATTGACCAGTTTCAGATCGAAAAGGTAACGAAGAAGCGACGCGGCCGCCCGACAAAGCTAGACCATCTCGACTGGTGGCTGCGACGGATGCAACAGATCTTTGAGGGTGTCAACCGCGACGCCGCTCCTGCGACGCCTCCAAAGCTAACGCAGCTCTACGTCCCACCCCCACCTCCGCCCTATCATAATGAGCCTCCAAAGGCTGCGACTGCTCTGAAGAAGCCACGCGCATCACGCACAAAACGACCGCTCCCACCACCGACATCGATAGTTACGCGCCGCGCAAAACGGGCGTCTCCCGACGAGACAGGCGCAGGCGCTCAACCCGGACGGAAGCGCAGGCGCTTATCGACGCAGGAGCCCGAGGAGGAGGAAGAGAGCAGCGCCGAAGAGATGAGAGTCGGCTCGGCGAAGCCCAAAGTGCGGTTTGTGCCGCCGTGCCCGCACACGAGATTGTATTCGGGGGACTCGCATGCTGGGAAGCAGCCAGCGATGGGCGTGCGGGGCCAAGGCGACGTCAACCAAGGGCGTATGCCTCAGACAAGTACGGGACTGCCGACTCCTCAACCCAGCTCGGAGAACATCGCCAAGCCTCTCGCTACTTGCCAAACAGGCAGCGCGGCGCCAAAGCCCCCTCCGACACCGAATCTGGCCCGGATACGCAACCTAGCAGTCACGCTTCAGGCCGAACTGCCGCCGACGAACGCTGCAACGGCCACGATGCCAAGTACTTCGCAACGATTTGTCTCTGGCGCACATCCAGTCGCGTCATCCTCGCGGCCGACGGGTGCCAAGGTGGATAAGGCGTTGTTGTCGGCGGAAGGCTCCCTGCGTGAGCTACATCAAACAACGCTGGGCACTGGCCAAAAGGTGATATTGACGCAGCTTGAGGAGCTGTACACTCGCCTTGATGGCCTAACCAAGACCTTAAAGAAACTGAAAGAGGTGGCTGACCTGCTGAACCCCAATGAACAGCAACGATAACACCGGCCCTGTGCATGGGACTTAATGTTTGCACGGTCAATCCACGCGACATAGCACATCATAGACTTGCACTGTAATCTCTCTCTCTGTTCGCACTTCATTCCGATATCAATCTGGGTCTTAGCAATCGAGGTCGAGGTGGCAGCTATACGAAGACATAGTGATGTAATTACGGTGTCCTTGTTCAGAAAAGGATGTAAGCAATGTGAAGGGGAAACTGGATCCGCAGAGTCCATCCATGTGGATTCGTTGTCCCCTGACGGCAGCTTCCGCCATGAGCAATCTTTGGCCGTTGCATGCATAGTGCTTCAAGGCTTTCACCTTAGTCGCTTTAATCATAATGGCCTACAAAGAATCAGATATTGTGCGCAGCCCATCCAAAAGACGGACACGTACTAGTTGCATGGTCATGTACATGAACGCACGATCGCGCCTTCGCCCGGTGCGTACCAGAGCTGGAACAGACAGCAATCAGACAGCATGAACTGACGGGATGTATGGGTAGTACTCACCCCTTGATGCCTGGTTGGTCATGGTCTGTAGTGACCTGATAACTCATACCGCTGACCATACTTGAGGCCTCGCTCGTGCAATCGACCACTTCCTTGCCAGAATGTCCTTCATGAGCTCACGCATCTTAGAATATCCGGAAATACAATAAAAAGATCTCAACACCAGATACGGTAGAGAGGTTTACGCCAAGATGACAACGTTTGCAGGTAGTTCAAAGCCGCCCCCAAAAACTAGTCCTATGCTCGAGAACGCGGTAACTTGGCCTCGTTTAACCTATATCCTACCAGATCCGGTAAGTTCCGCCGCGCCCCCATCCACCCAGAAGCACATTGCTCCGCCTATCAGCCCACAGCACACACAGTAGCAGGCCTCGATGCACCTCTGCGACGACTATTCGCCATGTTGACCTGTTCTGAGCTATCAGGCCCAAGCCAGAGCTCTATTTCACCCTTGCGAAGCTTCGCGTGCAGCTCTCTTTCACGACCGTCCACTTCCCTGCCTTCTTCGGGACGTTCATCTCGCGTATGAACCCGAGCGGCAGTGTCGCAAACTGGTGGTCGCTCGGCTCGATGGGTACGTCCAATGGCCATATCCGGTCAAACAGGCATTGAAAACTGCCACGCTAGGCGACGTACATGGGGTCGCGTCGCACCATCATCACGCGTACCGCGCTGCCTTGCCCGAGGCTTTCGCGAATGTTCAGCAGGCCCCGACTACAACGACGGTGTTTCTCGCGAACTATGCCGCATTAGACGAGGATGCGGGTTGCAGGGCTGTGCTGTAGAAGGCTTTGTAGTTTGCAAGCGGCAGGATGTAGGACACGCTGTGCATACCTGTGGTTATGACAATGTGGGATGGTCTGGCCGGCGCGGCTGATGACAACATACCGCCGCTTTTGTACGGAGTTATAGATGGGCTTGCCTTCGATGTTCGAATACGATGCGCCGTTGCGCTGCGTAATATTCGATACAATCCGCGAATATTTCAGCAGGCGAGAAGATCGACCAGTTCGCCAGGAACAGCTGATACAGGACTGACTTGGTAAATCGTGCCTCACGGGTTCCTGGAAGGACGGACTCACACTAGTGGTAATTCTGGAACCTGAGCGGCTTGTATCTATGCCTCCAGCTCCCGCCAAGTTAGGATGTTCGTCTGGCGGAAGCAGGAAGCTAAAGTCAGGCCGTCATGCTCGGCACCAACTGGAAAGAAGTCAAAATACAATAGCACTCGAGGAATATAGTACTTGTCGACGAGAACGTAGGATCCTCCTCAACCTCCTTCCTTCGCTTCTCTCTCATCTCGTCCCAGCGGCTACTACCGTCGTCCTCCCACTCTGAGCTCCTTTGGCGATTGGGTAAGCATGTCGTCGCATTGCGTACAATCGGGAAATGGCTTGGACCTGCAGCATTGGCATCCACAAGGACGAGTGAAGATGTAGAATAGCTGTCGTCTCGACGAAAGAGCCAGGTTGAGACTCGGACATATCGGGCCGAGCGGTGAATGCTGTACGCACATGCAGAGCACAGAAAGGAGAAAACTTTGTGGCTTTGGCAGATTGTCGTGTTTTGCGTTGTAGTGCAGCGTACTAGTGGAGGCAACGTGAAGCTCTGATGTTCGACCGTACGATAGCGCCCTGATGCGCCGATGCGCCCTGCCTTTTTTGTCGCGAGTCGACTGCGTCAGAGTACGCGTATCGCCACTATCTCTGCACTGCTGAGTCTCCATCCCCAAGCTACACGCAGCCTCGAGTGAAGAGATGGAATTAACGCAATACTATGATGTTAATCAGGCGTTGCCGACGCCGTGGCAGTTCCAGAGACAGTCAGCTTTACCGCAAATCTCAAGCCTGAAGCTCAAATCATCCTGTTCTTAGAATATGTACATGCATTATCATACCATACGCTGTGCTTCCGAGTCCACCTAACAATGAGGCTGTGCTGGAGTTTCGCCACGCTAGCCCTCAAACAGACGTTCTCCACCATTGCCGCGAATTACACCCAATACTTCTGTTAGTTCCCTCGTGCGATTCTCCAGCGCAAGCGAGGCTACCGGCGTGAGAATGGAGGCATCGCATTTTTCACGTGGAAGAACGCCAACTTGAGCATAAGTACTGTCAGTGGACGGGTACGTTCTTCCGCTAGTGCGCTTGGAGATAGCGAGGCACATTTATGATGTGGGAAAAACGGCCGCTTGTCTCGTGCCGCTCACTGCGGCAGTCTGGAAAGGGACTTCCCGATACCTTGGGGAAAAGATGTCAGTTCCTTCCAGCTTTGCATAAAGAATGACATGTCTGGCACCCCTCCGGCAGAAAAGCCTCTTGTTGTAGGTCATCGCATGTCAAAGCCGGTAACCCGAACTATATTTGCGCATTCAGTACACTCTGCTTCAATATGATAAGAGACGTGCTCACCAGCAGCTTGCTCGGAGCTACAGAAGCTATGTGACATTTCGGCAGGCACGCTACAGTGCTTTGCAGGCCAATCTGCAGTCGCCGAAAATTTTGTGCGTGTTTGTCCCGTACAAATTAATACCATAAGTAGTACCAGGTCAGTCACCGGGAGTCACGGACAGTCACAGTTATTTATTCCAGCACGCCGAGGCAGAGTCTGGCGAAGGATTTGCTGGTGAAGCAACTTTATGTATAACTGAAGCATAAGCACCGGCTTTCTGCAAAATTCAGCACAATTTAAGGGCTGTTGCCATCGCAACTTGGTGTATAAGCCACAGTCGGACAGCAGCATCTACCACCCCAGATTCATGGCGGTGAAGCAGGTTTGATGCCGTGGGATATTTCCTCGACGAGGTTGAAGTCTGGAGAGTATGGCGGAATATAAATGACCTTCGCACCTAGACATTATGCATTGCAAGAGTTCTCCGCTGTGACCCATTCTGCCGTGACTGATTTGGTACTGATATGGCATTAATTTGTACGGGACAAATACGCGTAAAATTTTCGGCGACTGCAGATTGGCCTGCAAAGCACTGTAAGCTCGAAGCTCGAATACTGCAATACATACATATCAAGATGAGAGCGGAGTTGTATCCGACGCATTAAGGACTCGTACACATCGCAGAATATTTCTGCAGCCATTTCAAATGTATTTGATGCCACCTAACCGAAATGCATTAGTGCCTGCCTGTCCAAAATACATAAGCGCTTGCATGTGCAGCTCCTCTCACATACCCAATATCCGACCGCCTGTCCGAAATGCAATCACTCCCTACGTCCAAAATGCATCAGTTTCCGAGACTCCCCCCCTGAATGTAGGCGGTAGCAGTCTTCCAAATCCTGAGACAGGGAAACTTATTACCGCGTAATGCTGTTAGGAAGACAGTCTTGGCCTCGAGTGAAATCCGCGTTTCGCCGTTGAAAGTATGGTGATATCAGCGTGTCAGTCTCGAATAAAACGCCTCGTTGATGCGCCAAAACTTTGGCAATCACATCGCCTTGCATTGAAATGCAAAAAATGCCGCCACCAGACTTTGTTTTCCAAGCTGCGCACGGAGTGGGGGCGTCAACAGCAACGCGCATCAAACTGCCACGCGAGCAAGTCTGAAAGGGCGCATCAGCTTCCCACGGTGACCAATAACTCTCCCACCCGCCGTTTTGAAGCTACGCACCGACCACCACAAGGTAGAAAGTGTGTTTCTGCTGCTAGACACAGTGCCCACTTTCTTGGTTTACTGAGGTCATCCACGTAAGTGAACAAGTCCGGTTCAATGTGTTCAGACAACAGCAGTACTCAGGGTCGTTTTTGGACGCTGCTGATCCCCCACAGCGCATATCCCTCCCGAAGACGATGGCCTACTGTAACCGCTGCGACCGGTATTTTAGCAGTGACGACGCCCTCTGGCAGCACGAGCGTATGTCCAGCAGACACTGGATTTGTCACGATTGCGGCAAGGACTTCCCGTCCGAGCGGGGTCTCACGCAGCACTATGTGCAAAGCCCCAGGCACCACTACTGCCAACGCTGCGACAGCCATTTTGACACTCCGTATGATTTGCAGGATCACTATGTGAGTGACCACTGGTACTGCTCGCTGTGCAACAAGGTGCGTGGCCTACCTAAATAAGATTGTGCAGCTGCTAACGAAGTCGCCTTCCAGATCTTCGACTCGAAGCTCGGTCTCCAAGAGCACAACAGGCAGAGCCACTGGTACTGCGCGACGTGCGGACGCAGCTTTGCGAGCGAAAACAACCTCATGCAGCACAAGCGCACACACCTGCCCAAGACTGTTCAATGCCCAGGCAGGAACTGCACCCGCGCCTTCGCCTCGCACGCCGATCTCGTCCTACACTGGGAGAGTGGGACATGCCCCTCAGGTGTCACCCGCCAGCTCGTCAATGACACGGCGGCCAAGAATGACCGCTACCGCCTCATCACCGACGCCCGCCGGCTCATCCAGGGCCCCGACGGCGGGTACACGCCGCGCGGCTCTGTCACGACATGGGCAACGCAGGCTTCGTGGAACGGGAGCGCATACGAATGCGTTTTGTGTCACTGCACGTATCCCAAGTTGGCGCGCCTCAACGAGCACCTGCAGAGTCCCGTGCATGACGAGCGCATGTACAAGTGTCCGACGGCCCTCGAGGGCTGCGCTGCGCAGTTCCGAACGCTCAGCGCCGTCGTACAGCACATCGAGAGCGGCAAATGCGGCGTTCGCAAGTTCCAGAGGCAGATCCAGGGTGTTATGGACGACCTAACGAGTAGCATGCACAGGCTGACGTGCTGACGTTGATCAGCCCCCTCATTTGTACAGATAGACCGTAAACTTGTAGCATTAGAATACACATTCCGTGGCTATATCCTGTTTTTTAGTTGTACAATACTCCAAATACACCACAGTTAGAGCAACCTTTCGCGAGAGCGTCCAAGCCTACGACACCCATAGCTCAGCAAGAGCGCAACGTACTGTCAGATCAATGTCTGACACATAGGCCACACTTCCTCCTTCATCCTGTCAGTGCACCTCCAGCACATGGAACCGGGAACTCCGCGGACGCGATCGCCCCGGTTGTCACCGTGCACAACCGTACCGACGCATACTATCAACATTGGCATCGCACACGGGAGCGGCTCATACACAAAGATCCAAATGCGCTCCCCAGAATGCAGCACGACGAGGCATCTCGGTCGTCCAGGGAACCTAAGGCTTAATAATTTCGAATCGCGATGAAAGCAGAGAAGCTTGATTCTTCATATACTGCACATTTATTGTATATATTCTCGTCAGCCTGACTAGATGCTTTTCATGCCTAGCTCGGCTGTGTCGGCAACATGGATTGAATCGTTTCTTTGCTTTCTTTGGCGCAGACTCTCGCATTGTTGTATATCTCGGTGGGACCCTGTAAGTTCGTCATTACATCAGCACTGATCCGAGCAGCTATGACGACCTGCGCACAAAACTCAGACCGTATGTATGGCGACATGCAAGAGCTTCTTCCTGCGCGCTGGCCCACGAGTAGATCAAGAGTTGTTCGTATGTGATCCGCAGAATGGCAGCCCTACATGGAGCGGTACGCGTGCGTAACTGTGCGCATAATCCTGTACATAATGTCGACAATAATCTGAAGACTCATATTAGAGGCGAGTGCTCTTTCGGAAGCGACTGTCATACCTCGAAGCGCTCAGGTTTCGTCGTGTAGGAGACATCCTTCGATGTAACGCCCCTTTAGGGAGCCAGTTCGAGGCACAGAAGAGTAATTTTCAGTGTATTAAAGCGATCGTTTGAGCTGTGTATTGCACAAGTCACTAACTTCAGTGAGCCGCTAGATGCCCGTAATATGAGCGTACATATTTGTCAGTGCGTCCACAATGGCGAGCAGCCACCTAGCAGCCGTTCCCCGCATGGAGTCAGGTTTAGGGCGCTTCCCCAATGGTAACGTATACTAGCTCGCAAATTTATGGAGGTTGGCTGTCGTTCGAGCGCGTAGTGATGTGCGGGCCGGGCCTCAAAGCCCGCGAGCCCGCCAAGCCCGGCCCAAAAAGCCTGTCCCGAGCAGGAGGCATCCACGATTCAGATCTTATTGAAACAATTCGCTTAGCTACCTCTAGGTGGTCTCACCCCCGGGGTCCTCAGGTACACTGCCGCATACAGTAATTCGATCAAAAGGCATACTTAGCGCCCACTTTCTGCCCACCGAACGTCGAGCGAGCCGGAGCGACTCGAACTCACAGAGCCGAGGCTCCTCGCTTTCTTCCGATTCAATATAGGTTCTGTCAAGCTGCGTAGAGTCAGGTTGCGCAGTGTGAGCAAGAGTTGTATGGCTATGCAGCGGGCTTAGAACAGGTACGCATGAACCCATAGTAGCTGATAGTAGACTAAGTAGAGTTACCAGACCTTTGTGGCATCAACCTCACAGTATCTATGTGCGACACTCAAGATACTGCGGGTGCGCCGTCAGTTGTCTGCCCATGAACCTCGGCGTCTTATTCGGTAGATGCTGTCACTACGACGAGCTCGTTCGCCAGCAAGGCGACATTTGCCAATGAGGTGTGCAACCATCACCCTGAGAATCCGACGGTTGCGTCTACTTCCTCCACGGTGACAATGTTGAGTACTCGGCACTCGCGTGCAGTCGCAGCAGCCGAGGCGACGCTTGGCAAGACACTGCCGCATTGCTGGTCGTGCATGACCGCCATTGGCGTCTCTCACCTCACCTACAGGACACTGTCCTAGTACAGTACTCTGCGGCGCTCGGATGGCTTTCCAATGGCACAAGCAATGCCGCCATCCTAGAAGACCTCGGTATATCTCTCAACTTGACATTATCTGGGCACGCTACTACTTACTGAGGATATACACTGCCGCAACGAATCCATGGTGTAGAATAGCCTACAAGTAACTGACCGCCTCTTCGCTCCACATCCAGTTCTTATATTGCACGCTGTCCTTTAATAATCGGGTTGCAGCCATACTCGATTTTCTCTGCCCAACGTTTCTTCGGCGCCATTGCGACTAGCCGATGAGCGGTTTGCGGGGGCCTCCGTAAGCGCTACAGGCGAAGCCTGTTACTGTAGATCTGAATCGTGGATGCCTCCTGGTCCCGAGCCAAGCCTGGCAGCAGGCTCAAGGCCAGGCTCGGAGCGTAGTTAAGCCCAAGCCCGGCCCGGAAGCCCAGGCTTGGGTGCACTGGCTCTGTTACTGTTCCCTGAGTTCAGAATAAGGTGAGAGAGATCTAATATGTACATACCAGACATAATATGAATATTCTAGACTCAACGGTTCCTGCCGAGCACGATTGTGCATTACCGTTTGGTGTGTGCTGTACTAGTAGGCGCACCGCGCTCGTGGGCTTCATTGCGACTCGACTTATTCCGCGAGTGTACGTCTTCTGGAAGCTGAGTTCAGTGAGTACCAACGCAGTAATAATCTACTACGTCTAAATATACTCCCTTTTCATAGCATCAGAATACTCATTGTATTGTGAGTAAGCCCGGGCTTAAGCCTGTGGCTTGGGCCGGGCTTAGGGTTCGGCTCGATGTTGCCACAAGCCCAAGTCCGGGCTTTGAGCCCAAGCCGGGCCCGCACATCGCTACAAGCGCGGCTTCCGGGCGAGGATTTTCGTCGTCGTTGCATGTTTCCACAACCAAGGCTAGCAAGCCGCGAGATTGCTGGAGGGTAGCTGCCAGACGCACGTATGTTCCGAGAGTGGCGCACTGTTCGACAAGCTTTGCGACTTCACGGTTCTGTGTCTCGAAATTTACAAAACGCCACAACCAACGAACCGCGTCAATTGGCTCGTGAGGGTCGCCCGTTGAGACTAGAAACGGAGGTTAATTTCGACGACTTCGTCGTCGGGGGGACACACAAACTGTGCTATTCCCTCCCTCTTGTAGGGTATCCCAAAGTTCTCCGAAAGTACTTTCAGGGTTTTGTGCCGGAACCTGGACGACACGTAGAGGAGACCCTTCAAGGAATTCAGCTGCGCCGTCGTCACTGAGCTTGGTGTGCAGACCAGGAGGTCTTGAGCGCCACTCACCGGTAGGAGAGGGGGCTGCTGCTCTGGAATCTTAAGATCCGGCATCTGCGTCATCCAGCAATCCTCGAGACATGCAACCATGGCGCTCTACGAGTGTGCGGACTCTGCAAGCATGCCAGCCTGCTGCGCAAGTAAGTGCTAGTACTTCGAACTTCGGACGGCAAGGCAGTAGCAGACATGCCGGAGCCGTTGGACAACATCAATAACCCTTGAGGATCAACATCCAGCTTGAGAATAGAAACCAATATTTGCACCGTGTGAGATTTTTTTGCCGTTAAAGGCCTTCCACACTTCAGGTTCCGAGAGAGAGATTCCAGTTTCATAAGTCGAGCATTGAGGAAGATGCGTAGAAGACTTTGGCCAGAGCTCTGCTTAGCATTATACATACAGTCAGTAATTGAATGAATTGGTTTTGGTATAAGTTATATGAGACCAACCGAATACACAATTCGAGGCGCAAGCGCGTTGTCATGAATATTACATAGTCCGGATGGTTCTCCCAGATTCCATAGTATTCTTTCACTTTCTATACACCTCTGTATACTCGTAGGATATTCTAGATATTCAGTCTGACATGTATATAAGGAGCTCGTACTGCTCAATAACAAGCCAGACTCGAGCTGGTCTTTCCTCACTTACAATTCCTCTCGTCTGTCTCCTCAGCGTTGTCGTAGCTCAGTCCAGTTGGATTGTTAGTTGCTGACATTAGCTCGAGTCTCCACCAACTGCCCTACGACGATCCTCGTCACTCCCACACCAACCATCACCCATCTCCACACGACGATCCATCTCATTTCACCCAACCAAAATCTCACCCCAATCCTAACCCTATCGACTCTACCACATCAAGACCCCGGGAACCCTTTTTCGTGCACTTGCACATAACCACTTCCTTATCCGATCCCTGGTAATCCCTTGCTCCGTTGGAGCTCGACCAGGTCGTGTTTGTATTGGATTCGTGCCCCGGCCTACCATAGCTGGCGCTAAACGTGTTGCACAGTGCACACGGTTATCCTGAGTACGACGTGGCAACCAGCTGAGGCTGGGCATCGGAAAAGAGACAAAGCTTCGTATTGGCAATCCCTACCCCGGGCGTCGGACTGAGAGAAACATAATTGCTCTCTTGGGGCTTTGAACTATATTGTAGAACTGTAAAAATTCGAAATTCTGTATATACACCGACCAATTCCCTACTTTGGCAAATTCTACCTTTGATCCGGTCGTTCCAACACGATTGGTCCCAGAGTTGCTGCAAAATAAGCTCCACGGACCCGACAGCATATGACCACACTTTCTTGTGACTGCAGAGGATATCAACATCGAGTATCAGGAGATAGAACTATCTACAAATGCGGAGATCCCGTACGATACTGTGTACAACAGCCGTGCCCGCACTCTCCACACAATAGTACTTGTTGCCCACGGTGCGAAGAGGGATTACGCAGAGAATTAGTAACAAGGGTAAACACCGGAGAACCTTTCGAGTCCCTCGCAAACCCCGAACCCACAGCATCTACCTCAGAACCCAGAGGAAGACGCAACACCCTCAATTCAGTCACCAAACATCTCCGATCAATCGCCCTCGGAGAATCCAAAGTACCACCAGAGGGACCACCAGACCCCGTAGAAGAAGCCGTAGAGGACTCTGAAGCATCGAACCTGCCTTCTTGACGCTCTCCCACTCCACCCTCATCCCCATCTGACCCTGGCGCGATGGCCGAGAACCAAGACAATGCCGCGCTCATAAATGGAAGTGCGATGAAGCCCGATGCCTTCGACGGAACGAAGTCCAAGTATATCGCTTGGAAAACACAAATGAAACTCTACGTAGTT